CCAGCTGCTCCGCGCTCCAGCTGCCACAGCCCCATTGGGTCACGCCCCAGCAGTTGCGACCCAGGGGCGCCCACACCCAGGGTCTGCAGAGGGGTCCCCTCCAGTCTGCACGGTCACCTGCGGTTTTCAGGCTACCATGTGACTCCCAGACCCCGAATCCCGGCCAGATCACACACGGACAGGTCGTTCAGTCTCTGGTGAGGCTGGGGGTCTCCACACCTGCCCCACAGGGCCCTGGGGAAGCATGCTGGCACAGGGCATGGGGACAGCCCCCGGGGACCGGAGCCAGGGGTTGGGGCACCCCTCGGTCTCCACGGCAGCACATCCAGCCTGTCCCAAGACCCACTGCCGCATGCCGCCAGGAATTGGGGAGACTTCCTGAGCGAGCTGCACCCCGCAGTACTGGGGCGTCCCGCACCCCGCAGTACTGGGGCGTCCCAAGCATTAACATGGTCTGTGCTGCAGGGGCCAGTGCCCATCACACATGGGGCTGCCTCTGCATCCCGCACAGCCCAAGCTCCAGCGCCGGCCCCACGCCAGTCCACGCCATGGGCCGCGGGGGCTGCCTGACACAGGCACTGACGCCCAGGCCACCCCGGCCACAGTGTCTGGCGGGCTGACTCAGGATTGCTGGATGCGAGGGCCAGGTGCCGGCACTCCCAGCGCCCTCCCTGCAGAAGCACCCTCCTCGCAGGCTGGGCCAGCGGCTCCCGCCCGCGGGCGCCCTCCATCAGCTCCTTCCTCCCTCCCACGGCTTTTCCTCACCCTGGCCTTCCTGCTGGCCCAGCCGGGCTGTGGGGGGCAGGCGGCACTCACATCAAGGCCAGGGTGGAGCCCACACTGCCCCTCTCCCAGCGGCCAGCAGGCTGCCCGTGTGGCCCCTGGTGCCCTGCACGAGGGACTGATCCCGGGGCCACCCTTGCCTCGCTGCGTGGCCCCCACACAAGCGGCGACATCAGTGGGCCGGGAGGCAGGACACGGCTGGAGCTGTGGCTGCTGAGCGCCGCCCTGCGGCCGACGGAGCAGGGCCAGCCAGCGGGGCCCCACAGGTCAGCACGGACCAACACCCCCGCTCCCCAACCCATGTGAGCCCCGGGGTGCGGCTCCGCCACCCCCGCCCGCCTTGGAGAGCAGCCGGCTCCCAGGAGTGGGGCGCGCCGACCAGAAGCTGCCCAGCCGGAAGGGTCTGGCCGGGGCGCCGAGGGGTTAAGGCCGCGGCGGGCTGGCAGCGAGGCAGCCCGCTCCCGCTGACCGGCCGCTGACCCCGCGCACAGTGGCCCCATTCACAGCCGCCAGGCCTGGCGTGTGGCTCCCCGAGCCCTGGTGGCCCTGAGTCCCCCCCCACCCCCCCGAGTGTCCTGCGGCTCACTTTTTCCTGACTGTGCAGCAGCTTGGCAGGTCCGTCACTGGTTTGGAGGAGACGCCCCGCCGTCCGCAAACACAGGCAGCCCCACAAGCCGGTCGTGGGGCAGGGGCTGCCAGGTGTTCAGGCCCCCAGAGACAGGCCTGTGACCCTGTGCTCACCGAGCAAGGGCGGCGGCAAACCACCCCCCCCACCCCCGCCACCCGGCCCCCGCAGTGCTGCAGGGTGACCCACAGGGCCAGCATCTGCGGGTAGGAGCAGGACAGGGTGCAGCGGGGGGTGGCGGGCGCTTTCTCGGCCAGCCAGGGCGGACTGTGCAGCTGCCGGCCTCCGGGGAGCGCCTGGCTGCTTTTACGGGCACAGCCGCACTTAGTAGCACGGCAGCATCCTCACAGACTCACTCCCTCCGAGCCGGGGCACACAGGCCCAGGACCTCCAGCGGCCGTGCAGGGAGGCGCCCTCGCCTCGAAGCCCCAAAGCCCCAAAGCCCTAAAGGCCAGGCGCACGGTGACTCCACGGGGTGGGCGGCCAGGCAGAGGCAGGCGGGGTACCGGAGGCCTGGGGCACCTGGCTAGGGCAGCCACACACCATTGGGAGGGGGCCTGGTGGGGCCCCAGCCCACAGAACCCAGAGTAGGAGACATCGAGCGTGTCCAGGCCACTTGCCCAGTGCATGGGGAGCGAGTCAGGCAGTCCACAGCAGCCACTGACCTTGGTCCATGGTCCACTTTACCTTGACTCAACCTCTCTCCCGGGGCTTGGAAGTCAGGGATGGCTGAGTAGCCTTCCCGGCTGTCAACAACCCCCCCGACCCCCGCTGGCTGTCATCCCCTGTGCTAGCTGCCCCCCACGCGCCATTACCCCCAACCCCATCCCCTGCACTGTGACCTCCCCACACCATCACCCCCATAAGCACCGGCACCGTCCCCCCCCTCCCATCACACCACCGCGCCCCGAGCTGGGGCCACGCAACCAGTGCAGCCAGCACCCGGGACCTGGGAGCTGCCCCCCCCAAAGACACAGGGACCCTGGGAGGGTGGTGATGGGACCTGCACCTCACCATAACCCTGGGCTGCCTGGGCGAGGCACATTGACACAGCCACTGCCGCGGGGGCTGTTTGGTGCTGTGTGGGGCGAGCAGTTGTCACCAGGGACCCACGGGCGAGGCCCACACCTTGGGAACCTGCTAGGAGCCCAGAAAGCAGGGCACGTGGGGCTGTGTGTGGGTGGGGCTGCAGGGCACCACCTGCACCACCCCCCAGAAAGAGCACCATGTGTGGACCTCCCCAACGTGTGCACCTGGAGATGGCTGGGGGAGTTGGGGACTGGGGCCGCCCCGCCCTCCCCAATGTCCCGAGTCCCGTCTCTTGTCTTCATCCTGCGCCCCAACTCACGGTCACACTCACCTGGACTCCCCATCTCAGGCTCCCCCACCATGAGCAGGCCCACCTGGCCGCCTGTGCGGCCCACAGACATCTGTCCCAGGCTGCTTGTGCCCGACTTTGGCTGTCAGACAAGGCAGGCCCTCATTTTGGGGGTCCTGTCTGGACCTGGGCAGCCCCGCCAGCCTCGGGGTCCACCAAGCCAGCCCTGAGCCACGAGCCTGGGGGCCCCCATGGTGACTCTCCAATCTCACCCTCACGCTGGCGTCCCCATCCGCTGACCCCGGACACTGCTTCTTTAGTCCTTTCCAGAAGCTGCCATGCCGGCCCCTGGGGACAGGCCTAGCAGCCTCTTCCCGCAGCACCACTGAGCACAGGCCCGCGGGACCCTGGCGAGGCGCTGGCCACTCGCTCTCGGGCGTCCCTCGGAGTCCCGCTCCTGACCTTGGGGCTTGTTTTGCAGCGCAGAGGCAGTTTCTGAAAATTGGCCACACACAAGCCACGAAGGGTGACCGACCGTGAAGCGGCTCATTAAATGCGCCCTGAAGCCACACGGTTTCCCCCAGTAAACACTGAGACTTGCTGGCCTCTTGGACGCAGATGGCCAGAGTGCAGCCTTAATTACAGGAACCGAAGCCCAGACGCTGCCCGATGGAACTGGCAGGCGGGAGGGGGGTGCAGGGGGCATTGGGGGGCGCCGAGAACTGCTTTCCTAGCATGAGGGGTGCTGGGTTGGAGGACACCTGAGCAAATATGAGGTGGGGAGGGAGAAGTCACACGAGAGCAGGCAATGCCATGGACACTTCGTCGCCACGGGACACGCGATGAACACGACACAGGGTGAGCGGAGCACCGACTTCGTCTTTTGTGGTGGAAAAACCCAGAGATGAGAGTCGCCTGGAGCTGAGCATGCACAGTGCAGTTGGGGTGGAGGGCGCCCAGGCAGGGTCTCTGCTGCATCACACCCCTGCTCCCCTCGGGGTCCCTCATGCGGTCAGCGCTGCCTGTCCGGCCCCTCCGTGCAGCCACTAGCAGGTCGGGATTCCGGAGCTGAGTGAGCCTCTCCGGCCTCCAGGTGGGACTGGGCACAGCCAAGGCACCACTGGCCCCCCGTGCCTGGCGAGGCCTCCAGGTGAGGTGCAGAAGCATACCCAGCCCTTGGATGGCGTCCTCGGCAGCCCTTGGGCTGCTTTGCACCTCCCAGGTCACAGGGGTACCCCACGGGCCATCAGGTGCTTCCTCCCTGCCCCTCAGCCCTCCATGGCACGTGGCCACGGGCAGCCTGAGGCCCACAACCTGTCCTCAGCTTCAGCAGCACGGGGCTCCCCTGCCACCCGTCTGGGTCCCCCCACGGTGGGTGGGGCATGTCAAGCCCACCGTGCAGGATCAACCACATAGGACTTGAGGACCTGCCCAGGGCAGTGGGCAGCTGCTGGTGCTCCCACTCACAGTAATGGGAGGCACAGGCAGTGGGAGCCAGGGGCCGGAGTCCCAGGGTGGTGCCCCACCCACAAGGAGAGCCTGCCAGGCCACCACGTCCTTGGTGCAGCATCCAGGCCCCTCAGCATATGACAAAGAGACAGCAGCGGGGTGAACACACCACACAGCCTCCCCAGGACGTGCGGGGCCAGTTTGATTCACAGGAAAAGCCCAGCACCCATGACCAGGGAGGCAGTGATGCTCCGGCACTCCCGATGACCGGACAGAGATGCAAGGCTCTGTCCCTGCGTCAGGGACGCAGGGCATGGACGGGGCAGGAGTCCCTGAGGGCCGGAGCAGCTGCCGCCTGCACCCCGGGGTCCCGTGTGACCAAGGCCTCCCCACAGCCGCCTGGGGTGCCAGCTGTGCCCGGCCCAGAGCTGAGGGGAGCTGGCTAGCGCTGACAAGGGTGTTTCCAGGGCTAGTGGCTGGAGAGCACAGCTGCCTGCTCCTGTCTGGATGCCCACTGGGAGGCTGGACCCGGTAGAGAGGACAGGCAGCGGGGCTGCTGTCCCTCCCACCTACACAGGGCAGCCAGAGACTTGGCCTCGGAGGAGCTGCCCGCAGCTACTGCTGGATGTTCAGGGCACGGGACATGATGAACAGCCACCCCACCTGGGGCCCACAGCTCGCACAGCACCCTTGGAACACCCCAAGGCGCAGCCCACAGAGATGAGCCTGCTGGGGAGTGGGGGGAAGCACATCCTGAGCCCGGAGGTGGGCAGGGCAGGGGCCTGGGCAGCAGACGGAGGGCGCGATGGGTAAGGACGCAGCGAGGACATGGTGGCACTTTATTTGCTGGCAGCAGTTCAGCCGATGGCATGGACAGATGGGTGCCAGCGAGTGACCATGGACCTGCATCGAAGAGTCGCCTCGCAGACAGCCAGGGCCACTGGGCGGTTTGGGTCCAGGCCTCCACTGGCCACCACGCCTGTGTGTCCCGGGGTGCTTGGGACAGGGCCCACCTGACACGCAGCACAGTCATGCCCCATGGCCCCGTCCGGCTGCCCTACTGCAGGCCAAGTACTGGCCCAGGCTCGATGGGGGCCGGGGGTGGGGGCGGGGGCTGGGTGCGGGGCGGTGGCCAAGGCGCACGAGCGTCTGCATGCAGCAGGGCTGAGACTTGAGGATGTGACACACAGCAGCAGCAGGCCGTCCGACCCCTCAGGAGACGCTTCCAGGAGTGTGTGACCTGTGGGGGTGGCAGGGAGCCACCCAGAAGGTCAGACGTAGCCCAGAGCCTGTCACGCCTTCTGCTTCCTCCGCTTGTGGCTGTGGTGTCTCTCCCCGTCCCTGAAAGCAAGGGGACGACAGTGTTGGTGTGGGGCTGGAGCCCTAGGGGACGCTGCCAGGAAGGGGATGCAGGCAAACCGGACACCCAGACGGCGGGGAGGGGACAGACGCTGACTGCCTCAGCACACGTGTCCTCCCGACGACCCGTCCTCATGGGGCAGCCGATGGCTACGTATCGAGGGGGAACGTGGGCTGACGGGACAGTGGAGGGAAGGAAGTCGTCAGGGTGGGACCAGGTGATGCTGCAGCCGGAACCCCGAGACCGGCAGGGGGCACGCTGACGGGGACGCGGATGGGCGTGAGGCCCCAGCCACCGACCTGTCCCTCCTCCTCCGCGAGTCCCGGGCCCTGTCCTCATCTCTGCTCCTCCTGCGCGGGCTGCGGCTCCGGTTCCTCCTCTGCCGTGGGCACTCAGTGTCCGGGTAGCTGCCTGCAGACTGCCGCGACTCTGCTGATGCCGACCGCTGGCCCTCGCTCCTGTGACTGGACCGCAGCCTGCTCATAGGCGCCCACCAGCCTCAGCCCACCCGGTTTCCCACAGCCCTCTCTGCGCCCCAGCATTGGCCATGTCAATGTCTGCCCCACATCGCCCTGGAGCAGCAGCAGCTCCAGCGTGGGGATGGGGGAGTGGGGGGCAGGGCAGCCAGCCACGGGGACACCAGAGAGCAGGACCAGACTGCACTCACCTCCCGGCCGCCTCCTCCGCACGGCCCTGCTCCTCCCGCCAGTGGCTGCTTAGTTCCTCCATGTGCACACTGATCACATCCCGGATCACCTGTGGGGCGACCAGGGCATCAGGGCCGCCTGGTGCTGGGCAGCTGGGCCGGGGGGTGGAGGGGGCAGCAGCACCACGCCACCCTGACACCAAGGGCCCAGGGAGGCCATAGCAAGTGCAAGGGATGCAGATTGGTGGGGCAGCCGCATGGTGGACAGTGTAGTGGGCCTAGGAAGGACAGCGAGCCTCCCGCTGTCATGAGCTTTTCAAGCCTGACAGAGATCTGCAAGCCAGTCGCAGAACCTTCTCGAAAGTCAGGGTGACAGAGAAGGCACAAGAGGAAGGACCCTCAGAACCTGCGGAGATGCCACCCCAGCAGCTCCCTAAAACAGAGCAGGCCCCAGCTGACCACGACTTCGCCTCGCCGTCTGCACGGCCACTACGGACGCCCCGGACCCGGGCCACTGCCGGGTCTCAGCCAGCGCCTCCATGGGGACACTGCGTCCTTTTCTGGCAAGGGTCTGAGGCCAGAGTTGCCTGTGAGCCACCAAAGTGCGCCCTGAGACTGGGCCTGTCCCATCAGGCAGGCTCTGGGAGGCGCGAGCTGAGCACGTCTCAGGGGCAGCATTAGGGACGTGGAGGGCAACACGCGACCAGGCGGTTTAAGACAAAGTCCAGGGGGCAGACGCTGTCCTCGGTGCAGGGGCAGGGCGCGGAGGTGTCATGAGGATGAGCAGGAGGCCAGAACGCACAGAGATGTCCCTGCAGCCTGGACAGCAGTGTGGCTTGGTCCACGCCCACCGGCTCGGGACGCGCCCCATGGCCAGGCTCCCTCAGGCGCGGACCCTGACCACAGCCCCGGGGGCAGCAGCCACCCAGCTTTGTGTCACGACGCTGCAGAACCCGCAGGAGATGCAAACTCAGAGCCCGCGAAGGCCCGGGGAGGTGCCGGAGTGGGGATTATCCGGGCACCCGCCGCCCCATGAGCCACCCCATCAACAGTGACCCCAGGGCCATGTCCGAGGGGCGCCTGGTGGCTCACCTCGGTGTAGGACTTCTTGGTGATGTGCACGTTCTTGGCCCGGTAAGACTGGCGCCGCCTCTTGTAGTCCCGCACCTCCGCCAGGATCTCCAGGTAGGACTTGGGGCTCTGCCGGCTGGTGTCTGAACACACCACAGCCCCGGCTCAGACGCGGCCCGTGAGAGGGCAGGATCGGACAGTCACCCCCCGACACATGGCTCAGAGGAACACACAGGCTGACACCCTCACATGACACGGGGGTGCGGCCACTTGGCTCCTGCCCACCCCTGCAGCAGAGGCAGCACGCGGAGCCCACCGCAAGCTGGGCACGGCAGGTGGAGGCCGGCACTTGGGCATGGCGGGGCACCTGTACTCCAACGGGAGGTGTGAGTCCACAGACCTTGGTTGACTTTGGCGGCCAGGTCCACAAAGAGGTCGCTGTCGTTTTCGACAGACTGGGGGCCAGAGCGCTGCTTCCTGGTCTCCCCCACGACAAAATCGTAGAGCGCAAGCCGGTCGGCTTGGCTGAGGTCACACACGGCGCGCTTGTGGTTCAGGGGCACATCCACGGGCAGCGGGGCGCTCGACCCTGCAGGCAAGGGCAGGCGCGGGGCCTGGCGTGGGGCACACGCCGTGCCCAGCTCGTGCGGGTGCCACGACCCCAACCCCAAGATCCGGGCGGCCTATCCTCTCCCTGCAAGGGACAGGCCCCGCCCAGGTGCAGGAACCACCCCAAGAAAAGCCGCCAAGTGGACGGTTGTTCCAAGGTCAGGCCCGGAAAGCCAGGCACGGCAAAGGCTAGCAGCCGACCCAGCTGGGCAATGGGGCAGCTGACATTGTCCTCAGAAGGGGCTGCCAGGCAGAGGCTACTCAGGCTGCCGGGGCAGCCAGCCCCACGTGGACACCACACTCATCAGCCGGCTGCGGCTGTGCTATGAGGCACTGTAGCCCTGCAAGCCGGCAACCTGACCTGCGAGGTGGTCGCCTCACGAGCCCGGGCACGCTGGGGGGACCCAGAGCGCCTCATGGCAGCCCGACACCCACAACAGCCTTAGAGCTGGAGCCACCGGCAGGGGAGCTTCCGAGCTGGCAGTGAGGGTGGAGCAAGATCCTGCTGCTGCCACTCACTTGGGCCATGGGCATCGCCGTCCCTCCCAGGTGCAGCTCTGGCCCGTCTGAGGATCTGGAGCTGGGCGTCCTTATCTGCGCAGAGGAACAGCCCTGTGAACATGTGACTGGACCCTGGCTGCAGAGTGCAGGCCCCTCCAGGATCCCAGCGCTCCAGGCAGGGCTGCAGAAGGGGCCAAGGGCTGAATGTACCTTCTCAGCCTGCCCACCACCCACCTGCTGTCAGACCTTGGGCACCTCTGTTGCACCCCGCACCCCCCACACCACCACAGAGACACCTGCGGGACAGAACAGGAACCTGACCATACCTGCCACTGCCACGGCGGGACCCACTGCCCCAGGTCTGGCCTGCTGTAGCCCGATAATCAGCGTGCACGCGGCCTCCATCCCCGTCCGGCGAACCTCCAGTAGCCCCCCTCCCACAAAGCCTCAGCAAGTCAGAGACAGGTGACTGCAGGGGGACCGCGGCCATGGCACTCACCCAGGGTCACAGAAGGGATCTTCGCGTTCTTGTAGAAAAACTCAGGGTCATACATCTCGTCCTGGGTGGGACGGGGAGAGACGCCTTGAGTGTCTAAAACACAACAGCCCCGACGAGACCACGAGGATGTGCATGTAACATAGGGCGGGCACCCCACTCACGCCATAACCGGGGGCCCCCGCACCTGTGGTCCCCCGTGCCCCCAGGCCCCTGCACCTGCTCCTCGCTGCTATAGCCCAGCTTGCGCAGCCGACAGGAAGCCACGTGCTTGGCCAGTGACGCTCCAGGCATCCGGTGGCTGGGATCGTGGGGGCAGATGGCGATGTCATCCTGCAGGGCCATGGGAGCAGGCTCAGGGCCCTTTTGCACAGCCATGGCCTCCCCTCAGACCCCACCTCCGCGGTCCCCCACCCTCAGGGCCCTCCTGGGGAGCCGCCTGGGGAGCAGGTGACCCCACCCCAGAGCCCCTCACGCAGGCCTGGGAGTGGGACCTTGGGGCTCAGGCTGTCTGACCCTCTAGCCCCTCAGCCCCAGCTCCTTCTCCTCAGCTATTAAGTCCATGTGGCCAGTTCCGTGGGCCTGACCGTGACCTCTGCGGACCCACATGTGTTGCAGGCATCTGACGGCTCCGACGGTCACTCCAGGTGAGACTCCAGCCTTGGACTGGCCTCCCCTCTACTCACTCCACAGGACAACCCAATGGGAACGGGGGCCGGACACGGGCCATAAAAGGCCACCAGCCCGGCAGGCAGGCCAGCTACCCCCTACATACTCGGCTTCCCCAGCTGGCTGAGGCTGTGAAGGCCCCCACTCAGGCTGCCACAGGCTTCTCAACAGCCTACTGCCACTGCCCAGTGGCCTCACTAACCCCCTGCAGCCCACAGCAGGCCAGCAGCCCCAAGATGTGCAGCCCAGTGCCCCGCCCGGCTCCCAGCTCCTGTGGCTCTGTCCCTCTAGGCACTGCAGTGTCAAGGCCCCAAAACACGTGGCCGGCGCCTATGCTGCAGGCCCCGCCCCAAAGCCATTCAGCCCACCCCTTCGCCTCAGGTCCCGCCCCCAAGCACTCGGCCCGCCCCTACGCCGCAGGCCCCGCCCCGCAGCACTCGGTCCGCCCCTACGCCACCGGCCCCTCCCCAGAGCCGCCTACTCCCCGCGCGTCGCAGGCGGCGCGCGCGCACCTCCGCATCGTCCGCCTCTCCGGCGTCCAGCCGGTCCAGGCTCCAGCCGAGAGACGCCGTCACCTCCTCCAGCGTCCGGCGGCAGCTCTCCACGAACTCGCTCAACTCCTCCTGCAGGCGCCGCCGCTCGCCCACCGATGGAGGCTCGCCCGCCATGGCTTCCCGCCCACCGCAGCCGCGCGGAAGCGGAAGCAACGCGTTCGGCGCGCGGGGGCCTCTGGGAACGGTGCGGGTCTGGCGCGTCACGTAACCCGAACCCTGGGGACCCGGAAGGCGTGGGGTGCCCTGCGGGCCCGGGCTGGGGCGGGCCCGGGCTGGGGCGGGCCCGGGCTGGGGCGGGCCGCGCAGTCGTCGGATCTCAGCGCGCTGCCCTGATCCGCAGGCCGTCGTTTGCGCGGGGCTCGCCCTCTGGCCGAGCCCAGGATCTGCGCCGACAGCGGGGTCCCGGCGCCTTGGGGTTGCCCACGCCTTCCCGCTGGCCGGCCCGCCAGAGCCGCGGCTGGCAGGGCGCGCGTACTCCGCGGATTCGTAACCCCTGGGGTGCTCAGGCCGCCCCAGCCCACCTCGAGGGGCCTTCAGACGCGGCTCTGGCCTCCCTGAGCGCGGGAGTTCGGCCTCCCCCAGTGTACCCCTCCTAGGGCGTGACCCCAGGACACAGCAGGCCCTTTCTCCCCGCCGCCCCCTCAGCAGTGAGTTTCAGGGGGCAGACTGCTCTGCTTCCCACTCTCCTTGGGGCGTTCTCTCCCACCTCTGTCGTGCACCCCAGCTCCGTGTGCATCAGTAAATACTGTACTAAAGTGAGCCAGCAGCCCTTCCTGACATCATCCTGCGCAGTCTGGGGTTCGCGCTGCGCCCTAACACCTGCGGTGGCCTGTAGTTGCCTCAGGGGCTTCACCTCCCAGCAATCCGTCTGTCCTACCTTATTTCTATTTTTACTGCCGTCCAGCCGGACCCCATTCTGCGCTCCTTTCCACCTCTTGAAACGGCTGGACTTAAAAATTTCTGTGGCCAGCTGTTCTCGAGTGGCCCAGGGCCCCCAGCCCTCCCCGACGTATCCCGTGGTGCCCCAGGACATGTAAGAGGCCTCGGCCTAGCAGGTGTGCGGCAGGAAGGTGTGTGGCAGGCGTGACACGCACTTTTACCTTGCATCTGCTCCTACAGATGTAAAGTAGACAATTCCGGGAGGGATCGCTGTCATGGAAATGCACCCCCTTTCTGTGGCTGTGCACCCCGACGTAGGCCGAGCGCCCCGCTCTCTGCCACTCATCTGGTGGAGCTCAGTGACGGCTGTGCCTGGCAGCCAGGGTGTGCTGCCTCGCGGTGCTGGCCCAACTTTCTCATCCCTGGGCACTGGAGAGTTCCCGACCCAGGTCCAGCCTGCGCCTGCGCCATGGGCACAGCTGTCGCGGCCCCAGGTGTGTAACTGAGATGGAGCTGCAGGGAGGTGGCGTGAAGAGGCCATTGGTAGGGCCCCAGTGCAGGGCTGGTGTCCTGTATGCCATGACCCCAGCCCCCTGTGTCAACCAGCCACTGCAACATGAATTCAATTCCAGGCCAAGGAGGTGACCATATGGTGCAGCAGACCTTCCCTGGCTCGTCCACTGCACCCCTCAGTGGTGTATTTCAGAGGATCCACCTTTTCTGCTCACAACTCTATGTTTGGCAAATCCTCTCACTCCCAACAACAATGGCATACAAGTCAGTTGTGTTCATAAATAAAATCAAAACTTAAAAAGAGAAACTGAGGGTCAGAGATACTAAATGATTACCTACACTATACAAATGCTAAATGAATGGAGGCAAGATTTAGATACTTCAGCACTATTATCAACATTTAAACAACTATGTCATGCTTTCATTAAGTTCATAAAACATTAAGTCACATGATTTTTGCATATTATGAAGGCCAGCAAAAAGGACTGACTTATTTTCTCATACTTTCTGGTGACTGTAATTTCATTCTGATTTAAGTGTCATGGCTAAAGAGTAACTGAGCAATAACTTGCATTTGTAAAATTAAAAGTAATAAGCATAGGTTAGGGAGAACTACTCTATTTAGAAAATAACAAGGAAAGATACTAGTTGATATTTAGAGATTACTTCCTACCAGCTGTTTTATTTATATGACCTATTCAGTATTTCAATTAACTTAATAATAAAGCTCATTTTTTTTTCTTCAGAGTATAAAGCTGTGTTAAAAAATATAATAAAAATATAGTAATAAGGCCCTCCCTGGTGGCGCAGTGGGTTAAAGCGCAGCACCAAGAAGCTAAAGCCACTTGAGCATGAGTTCGATCCCTGCCTGCCCCGGAGGTGACCACATGGCGTGGCAGATCTCTCCTGACCCGCCCGCTGCTCCCCTCAGCAGTGTACTTTGTTGATCTGCCTGTTCTGCTTCCCACTCTGTCTCTGGTGAATCCTCTCACCCTCTGCATCTCTGGCCTGTACCCCAGTTCTCTATGAATAAATAAATAAACCTTAAAAAATATATATAATAATAAAACCTGCACAAACTCCAAAAGAATTTGTGTTGATAAAATTCATTTTTCAGTTTTCTGGTGAAATCTGGATGGTCTATATACTCATCTCAGGAACTTACCTTCACAACCAGCCTTGAGTTGAACAGGCAAACCTCACTTTTACCCTTACATGGCCTTTGAAGGTGGCCTGAGAGTTAAATTTTGGCATAAGATAGAGCAACAGGAGAAAAGCTTGCTTATTACATCATACAAATTTCCCACCAGTCCCAACCGTAAGGGGTCTTTCTGATAATTTTGTATGGTGTAAAGTGGATTAAGGAACACCCACCCTTAGGAAGATTAAATCTCAGAGCCCTCACAAGCATGAATTTTCATAAAGAACAACAAAAGCCTTACAAGATGCCATTTAGCACTGGTTCCTGTGAAAGCAAAACAAATATAATGACATCCAACAGGAATCACGTGAAAGGAATGGTGGGGTGAAGAAAAGGAAGATGCATGGGAACGAGCTCTGCGTGCGCCTGAGAGGGAGCTTTGCACATGCGCAAGAGGACGCGCTGGGCACGTGAGAGAAGCTCTGCGCAGAAGCGGAAGAGAAACCGAGCTTTGCTGCCGCAGGTGGCGTCGCGCTGTCCGCAGAGGCAGGACAGGCGGGACAGGTCTCGAGGGCTTCACTGAGCTGGGCTTTGTGGGCTGAAGCGGCATGGCAGAGCTATCGAGTAGGGCCTTGTCCCCGTAGTCCTCTTGGAAAAGTTTTTGTTAGGCGTGGCAGAGACTGGGAGAACTGGAAACAGGCATCTTGCTGTAGCGCTGCCTGAAGAGAAAGGAGATCTGAAGAGTCCGGCATCTTGCTAAAGTGTGGCCTTGGGAGGATGAGAGCCCGGCAGCCAGGGGCCCTGCTGAAGGGCGGGAATGTGGCCGCTTGTCAGCGGTTCAGACGCTACAGCTATGGCCCTGAGTATCGCTTGTTGGTGCTGGGCTGGGCATTTGGGCAGCCCAAGGAGCATGTATCTTTGCTGTGTTTGCGATTGGGATCCTAGCCTAGAATCTGGCCACAGGGTGCCCACAGCAGGGGAAGACACCATCTGAGACAAGTGGCCTGTTGTTCAGGAGAGGGTCTGCACATCCTCAGTGGCAAAGACACCTCCATAACGGTTTTGTGCAGGACAGCACTGGACACGACTTTGGGTAAAGTAAACGGCCATCTTTGGTAATTCTTGTTTTCCCCATTTGTTAAATAAATCCCATTGTTGTTATTCTTGAATCCTGATGCCTTGTCATTGTGCACATCGCTGAAGAACCACACAGTAACCAGTAAAGTATTTGGGCAGTGGGGCCTTGGCCAGTTTCGTGACCCCTGCCACCCTGTATCAATCCAACATAGTCTCAATAAAATAAATAAATAAATATCTTAATTAATGTAAAAAATATGAACTTCCTGGTTGAATACTTCCCTTATGAAGGGAAAGTAAACAAAATTCATTAAGTCAAGACTTGTATTTTTAAAATTCAGTAGAAATGTCAGCAATTGTGTAGCATACTCAAGCAACCGGTGTTCTCTTGGAGTTTCTCTTGGTGGTTTTAGAGGGGGGTAAATTGACATCATTGTTCACACTGTTAGATTTGTCAGCATTTATGATGGCAGAAAACATATGGTTTGAGTTGATTTTGCCATTCTTTTAAACTTTTTTAAGGACAATGTGCCAACTCCCCTCCCCAATTGTGACTACTTATCTCTGGCTGTATTTCCCCTAGTTGGTCATCCTCCTGCATTTTTCCTCTGATTCTTCCTGAACAGCTTCTTATCTTGTTCTCAATTCCCTAAAGAAATTTCAAGATTATCTTTGAATATGTATTGTTCTTCAATTCATATTTACCTTTCTGAATTTTTATCACTAAGATCACCATCTTTTTTGCCTGATAACAATTAGATAGCATTACGTTTGGTTTGCTTCACATAAACATATGCTAAATGGCCTTTTTTATTTTTATTTTTTATTTTTTTTATTACAAAAGTTTATTTTTGCATCATTTTGTACATTTTTTTTTCCATCTAGATTGTAATCCCCGCAGGTTTCCCATCACCAA